AGACTACGTTGCTGTGAGTGTACGTACAATACTCCCGCATTGTACATGCCCTCAGAATGAGAGAAGTTTCTGGTGATTTCTTCTTGCTGCTGCTGCAGTAGCGCGGTGAGAGCCGATGACAGAAAGCACGCGAGGAGAGAAGGCACGAAGTCGCCGTGTTTGTGTTTGTGGAAACCGTTGGGAAAGAGAGGGAAGGAGGGAGAGCAAGAATATAAACGTAAGTAACTGGGTGTATGTATATATACCCGTACCTGTGATCCTATACGTATACACGTTCGTATACGTAATCATAAATATGTATGTATAATCATGGGTATATATGGTTGCATGAGGATGAGAACAGGATCTGCTGATTGTCAAGATGACTGACGGTTTTTTGCCTGATAGCAGCTGTGTCTGTCGAGCTGCTGGTGCCTGCTTTACTTTTTCGTTATCTGCAAGAAGAGCGTAGTTCATCGAGTTGTTACGGGTTATGGCGCGCATCATTTGCATATATGAATATATATCTATGTGTATATATCTATACATGTGTCTGTTGTGTATACATGCATCTACATATATATATATATATATATGTATATATATGCGTGTTTACGTATATATATATATATATATATATATATATATATATATATATATATGTACACACATATGAGTACATGTTGAGTACGGCAGCATTTGAATAGGCGTGCTTCTTCGATATGCGTGTGTCTATGTGTGGGCGGGCGTTCGTGCAGTAAAGAGAGTATTTGAATCAGGTGTGAAGGTGTTATATATACAGTTTGTATGTGTTCTATATATACCTATGATGATAAACGCGGCATTCATGCCTCCTGATACTTGTTAGTAGTATGTAGGTTTGTATCGAGCTGTTGTGTATATAATTTGTATGTATTGTGTGAGACATATTATGTAGTTTTGCATGGAGGCGCTTTATGTATAATATATATGTATTATATACATGAGTATATAATGCTAGTATGCAGTCTTGCATGCAATCGTCATATATATCATCTGTATGTATTATATATCTACAGATTATGAGAAGGCGTTCATGCCCCCCCTGACACGTGCCTGTGTATTGCCGCTAGCTGCCCCCCTTGAAAGGGCGGGCGAGGCGCTGAGGGGCTTGTAGCGCGCCGCGTATATATTTCACGTCGCAGCTCTATTGCTGCATCGTGTTGAAAACGGAAAGATATACGGAAGACGTATCCTCCTTTCGAAATTATATTTACCTTCCTGCCGGAGAGCGCTGAAGGCGTTGGTCTCAGCGGCTGGTGTATGTATTGGTATATTTCGATACGTATGTGTATGTGTATATATATATATATATCTATGCAGGAGCACATGTAAAGCAGGAGTGACTGCTGTAACACACGCACATGCCCGTAAGCATGGACTGCAGCATATACGTGCACGTAGTAGTAGTAGCGGCGTGGAGGCGTATTCATTCGCCTCAAAACATAGCCTTTTTTCGGAAGCATCTGTCTTTTTCGAAACCGCTGAAGAACTCTCTAGTGAACTGCTACATACATATATATACGTATGGATCTGCGCTGGAATAGCTACATATATTTATATATATATATATATACATACACGAACCGACGTGTACAATTAGTCAGTTCTGTAACATATACACACTCTTAGAAACGTGAATATAAGTGCCTATGCTCTAGTGCTAGTTATAGTACTAACTGATTTGTGTCCAAACGTAGCCATTTCTGGGAGTATACGGGTCTCCTCCCGAACTGATACTTTCTTCTGTATATGTGTATATATATATATACATATATATATATATATATACGTACGTGCATGCGTGCATATATGTATCTCTGCTATATTATTTTCCTATGTATATATATACACATATGCCTATATATAAAGGCGCATGTGTAGCAAGGAGTGCATGCTTGGCAAATGTGTACGAGAGTATGTATTTGCCAGTAGTAGTAGCAATAGGGGTGCGTACTGATCCACCTCGGAGCGTAGTCGCTCCCCCAAAACATACGGTTTTTTCCCGTGCGTTTATATCTTTCCGGAAGCGTCTGCTCTCTGAGTCCACGGAGGATGCGTCTTAATGAGCACATGTGTAGCCAGCCTCACTGCTGCAGCACATACTTGCGCGTACGAACATGCACTGCGTAAGCGTACCCACATACACATATACATGTACGTACATATATATATATATATATATATATGTATATATATATATATAGTTGTCGGCCAGTAGCAGTAGTCGTAGGGGCGGTAATCAGTTCGTCAAACCGAACTTTTCCCTTAAGACCGTATCTGCTATCGACAGCGTAATCTTCTCTCCGGGAAGCACTCTCGTTGTACCTTTGTATATAAATTTCGATGTATATACCTCTATGTCTATATATACATGCTAGTATATGGTAATCTGTTTTCATATATACACACACATGTGTATATATATAAGCACATGTGTAGCAAGAGCGAGTGCCGCGACCCATACACACCCATAAGGATGTTCTGAAGTATGCCAGCGCTAGTCGTAGTACTAGGAGCGCTGACTGATTCATTTCCACACCTGCTCTCTTCTCGGAAGCATGTTTTTCTCTGAAAAGAAGGCTTCTTACCGACCGCTTCATATAGGTATATATAGTATATATGTGTAGATGCTAGTATAAACTCGCAAGTGTATGTATAATGTATGTACAAGCAGTATATATATGTATATATACATGTACTGGTAAGTTGTAGTATTGGTGGTAACGAGAGGGCCAGTCGATTTGTCCAGGCCTTCTAGATGCAGAAGCAATTTCTTATGTACACGCGCGCCCCCCTATTAGTAGTAGTACAATGTGTAGTGGTCGCGACACGGATAGACTGCAGAGAAGGTACACGAGGTGGTAATGTACTGGGTGGGAGTCAGTAGTGAAAAGCACATCTACTCATTTACTGCTTGCGGATGCTGTAGACAAAACCACTCGTCGTGCACGTACGCATTCGCTAAGTAACGGTAGTAGTGATAGTTGCAAGAGAGGTAGTGGACGCGAAATATATAACAGGATAGAAGGTACTAACAGTAGTGATGTACGGGTGGTGGCAGCACTAGCAGGGCGCCTCATCAGTCCGTTTACTGCCTGCGGATGTTGTAGAAGAAGCGCTGTATATGCGCATGCTTACTCAGCAATAGCAGTAGTAGTGGTGATACGAGTGATAGACGTAATGGGCGCAGCAGCTATGTACCCCAGAGAACGGAAGGTCCAAGCAGTAGTAACGAAGGGGTGCTTTTTGATTTCTCGCCCCCCGCACAGGTTGGCGAAGGAGCAGATATGTGTATATACGGGAGAGGGCGCATGCAATGGTTTACGTAATGGACGGGGCCACTGTGCAGGGTGAATCGCACACCTGGACTGCTGCTGCAGCTGCTGCTGCCGCTTACACTGCTGCTGCTGCTGTTGTTGTTGCTGTGGCCGCTGCTGCTGCTGTTGTTGTTGCTGTGGCTGCTGCTGCTGTTGCTGCTGTTGTTGTTGCTGTGGCAGCTGCTGCTGTTGTGCTGCTGCAGTTGCTGGCGCCGTTGTTGTGCTGCTGCCGGTGCTGGTGCCGTTGTTATATTAGGGTGTCTGTACATTGCCGCGGCGAATTCTCTAGCGAGCTGCAGGCATTCATATATGTGTGTGTACGGTCGAATCACACGCGTAAATAGGAGGCAAAGTTGCTCTAAGAGACAATGGCACAGACGTGCAATCATGCGTGTATATATACACGTAGATGGGTGTACATCTACAAGTCATCCCCGGCGCTGTTAGCCTATGTCTACATGTTTACACATGCATATATATATATATATGTATGCATATATATATATATATATATATATATATATATATATTAGCATATCGCTCCGGCTCTGTCGCTACATACATACATAAAGGCAAACCGGTATATATTTGGGATACCGTCCCTAACTATGTTAGCATATGTACACATGTATAAGTATATATATGCGGATGTGGACATACTCACGTGTCGTTTCTGGCCCTATTCCTACACACATACGTATATATATATGTTTACTGTGTACATACTAACATATTGTGTCTTGCTGTCTTAGCACGTGTATATACGAACACACACGTATGTGTACGCGAATGTGGATATCCTAGCGTATCGTCTCTCGCTCCGTTAGCATATACATATATATATATATATATATATGTATACGTTTAGACGCTAGTGTGTATTGACAGACAGGATGTTTTATCCCGTTTGTTCTTTCTTGGCGAGGATCCCTTAGCTAGCGAATCCATTAAGATTTTGCTACAGATGAGCCGGAAGACTTTCAATGCTTACACAGTCGGTATTATTTCCTCTTTTGTGTTCGGTTGATTACGAGGTACTGCATTCGAAAGAATAAGACTGCAGATATGATGAGAAGAAATTCCGAAGGAAGTATCAGTGGCGCTGTCTGTATTGATTCTGCCTATTTCAGCATTATTGCACGTACTCACAGATAGGCACATGTTGCTTCACCCCTTCTTTCCTTCCTTTTCCACGGTTTCCTGTGTAGCGATTCCCTCTGGAGTCTGCTTGAGACTACGCGGAAGTCCTTCGAGGCGTACAGAGTCAGTATTATTTGTACGACTCTGTATTATGGGTGGGAGCCCACAGCGCCTCCCTGAGAGAAGAAGAGGACTGCAGCGAGGACAAGGGGCGGGTCTTCGCGACAGATCAAAGCGGCGAAGAAGAAGTCTTCTACTTGCTGTACTGTTGAGGCGGTCTTAGTATACATATTACACATGTATATACATATTTGCACATATATTTACATGTATACGCATATACACACCTATATATACATGCATGCATATATGGCAACGTACGTCGAGATTTACGCCTTTTTCTCGTCAGAAGCGCTCTTCTGTCTAGCGAATTCCTCTATATCTTGCTTGACACTAGGCGGCAGACTTTCGAAGCTCCCAGAGTCGGTATTCTCTCCCCTATCCTGGTGTATAGGTGTGGAGTCACTGCGTTTTTGGAAAGAAGAAGAAGAAGACCGCAGCGATGATGATGAGGAGCGTATTTCTGAGAGAGATCTGAGAGGCGGAAAAGACGTCTGCTGCCTTGTCTCTGCCCCCGCCCCTTTCCTCTTTCCCCTCGCGCTCCCAACCGTCTTCCTCTATATCTTCATCTTCTTCTTCTTGCTCTTTGTCTTCCACTGTAATAGACTGGCCAGGCAGGAACTGAGTACTGAGAAGGACGAGAGGGCGAGAGGAGTGCTGCTGGGCTTTGCTCTGATGACGCACCCAGAAGCTGCCCAGCTGCGTGATGCTCGTCGTCTTCTTGTCTGCTGATACATGTGCTACTTTCGCATACCCCTTGTCATCCCATATGATTACGTCTTTTTCTCTTCGTAGTCGGTCGCCTGGCGGGTGGTGCACTACTTGCTTTTCTGCATCTCCGCGAGCCGCGTAAAACTGCAGCTGCCGACGAGGAGAAGCAAAGCGCTTCACGGCCTCCAAAGGGCAGCGGATATCCACCTCCATCACTTTCGCTGTGAACAAGTGCGCCACATATATATAGGTGTATATACATATGTGCATTTGTGCACGCGAATCTGTATATGTATATATATATATATATATGTGTGTGTGTGTCGAGCGACATAAAAGAGCAGCTGGCGACGAGGAGAAGCAAAACGCTCCACCGCCTCCCGGCGGTAGCGAGAAGCCACCTCCGTCACTTTCGCTAGGAGGAGAATGAGACAGACATATACATACGAATCTATATACATACATACATAGATACATGTATATATGTGCATGCGTGTAAGTATATATATTTGTATAGAGCGGCAGAGAACAGCAGCTGCCGCCGAGGTGGAGCGAAACGCTTCAGGGCCTCCAGTGGCCAGCGAGTATTCCGTCTCACCACATTCGCTCAGCACACGTCCTTCACATACGTACACACATATCTGTACATGTATATATATACATATGTATATATATGTTTATATATACATCTATGCGTATCCACATATGTAAAGAGAGAGTTGCATAGAACCGCAGCTGCCGGCGACGGGGAGCAGAACGCCTCATCGCCTCCAGCGGGCAGCGGGTATCAGCCTCCGTCCCTTCTGCTGAATATAAAGCACCCATATATATGCATGTACACACACATACATATGTAAGTATGCATGCACATATGTATGTATATGCATATACATATTTATTAGAGCGGCATAGCACCATAGCCGCCGACGAGTCGCAGCGAAACGCTTCACGGCCTCCAATGTGCAGCAGGTATCATCCTCCGACACTCTCGCTGAGGACACGTCGCCCGTATATAATGTGCATGTGTACACATATATGTATGTATATATGCATGCATATATACACGTATACGTATATGTGTATGTATAGAGCGGCCTAAAACTGCAGCCGCCGACGGGGCAATGTGAAAAGTCTCGGCCCCTCCAGCGGGCAGCGGTACGGTCCTCCGTTTCTGTCGCTGAGGACAAGTCGCCCACATGTACACATATATATGTATATATATACATATGCTCTCGATGTACCATAGCATACGTGTGTCTGTCTTAGATCCCATAGCGCAGATGTGCGCTTGTAGGTATATATACATATATTTATTCATATATAGCTGCATAGATCCGCAGCTGCCTAGGGGAAACGTGAGACGGTCCACTGCCCCTATATTCTTCCTTTGTACCCAGGTATGACGCGGTAGTCACTGGTTCATTCATGTCTATACACGTGCATGTTGTGCCCTGTTCGCTCCCATTTATATGCGTCAATGTAGTCCCTTATTCACTGCATACATCTCAGCGTGTTATACTCTCCCTTCGTACCTATACATGCCAACGTAGACATTCATTCATTTGCACCTGTATATGTCCGTGTATGTATTCTTCGTTCATACCTACAGATGCCACCGTGGTTCCGGTTCATTCATATCTATACATGTAATTGTAGTCCCTTATTCATTTACATATATATATATATATATATATATATATATATATAATTTGTTACGTCCTTTATTCATCCCCTCCTATACATGTCAGCGTAGTAAATTCTGCCTTCCTAGCCACCCACGTCAATGCGTCTTGTTCATTCATATATATGTACATATGTGTCAATGTAGTCTCCTGATCATTCATACCTCTACGTGGTGGTGTTGTGTATTTTTTCGTTCACACCTATGCATGTCAATGCAGTGGAACTCGCCTCGATGCTACGCAGAGAGACTGTACATGACATACAGCTAAGAACTATCGCTAGGATCGAAATAATATGAGCAGGAGAGCGGGCCGGTGCGCACGTATCTACTTAGGAGCATTAATATAAAAAGAGATGCACTCATACGCAACGCAGGACACACGCAGACCCGGCAAAACGCCTTTGCATATGTATTCACCCAGGGGCGTTTATAACTGAAGGGACGGCCTCACACAAAGAAGCTGTAGAGCAGAGGCCTGCTATGCATGTGTCTACTCAGGAACATTCACACAATGTAGAGACGCTCTCATACGTGAGGAATATAGAGAAAAAGCTTACTAGGTATGAACCTACTTCGGAAGGCTCATGCAAGGACGGATGCCGGTCACACGCAGATTAGGGCAGAAAAAAAGTACACGAGAGGCCGGCATCTACTGCGAAAATTCATCAGAAGCACGGACGCTTTTATACAGAAATCCGGAGGTGACGAAATTTGGATAAGAGGCCTGCATCTACCTAAAATGTTTTATCGGAGACAAACGGTGCCCTCACCCAAGGAATGAGGCATATGAAAATTCGAGACAGCGTCCTGCTACGTGTGTATCTACGCATAAACACTATACAATGAAGAGATGCTCTCATGCACAGAACAATAGGTAGAAAACTGTAGAGAAGCGGCCTGCTATGCACGTACGTACCCCGAAACGTGCCTACTATGAAGAGACGCTTTCATACATAAACCAAAACAAGGAGATTACGGGGAAGAGAGCTGCACCTACTTGAACGTATTCACCGAAGGAAGGACGCATTCCACTATAGATATGCATACGTATATATATATATATATATATATATATATATATGTATATATCTTTGTGTACATGTATACACCTCTACGTGGATAGAAAGTCCGTGTGTACAGATGAAGACATCAAGCAAGTGCATAGAAGTGGCCTGCTACGTAGGTACGTAAGTGCAGACACGTATGTGTGGTGAGAATATCGGGAGGCCAACGTCAGGTGGATATATAAAGAGACTCGAGAGGGAATAAGGGTCGGTCGTTTTACTTCTATAGTCAAGACTATTACACCCAAGGGGAGAATGAGAACAAAGAAGCAGACGATTCTTTCGAAAAAGAAGTAGCTGAGGAAAAGAAGATAAGGAGGAGAGAAGGGGCGAGGAGTTGTTAGAAACTAAAAGAAGAAAGAGAGGAAGCAGGTGAACGCACCTATGAGGAAGGAGACAGCCGTCGATCGACGCTTCACCAGCTCTTTAGCGACACTCTGCATTCGCTTGTCTACTTCGTTCTCCATTTGCGCCCTCACTGCAGCAGCTTCTTCTTGCAGCTGATAGTCACACATAAGCATCACATCCGCCACACATTCAGCAGACCCGCTTCACATATATACGTATATATATATATATATATATGCATGTATATATATCTGTACACATATACGTATATATGGCGAAACAGATATATATATATATATATATATATATGTGTATGGATGCAGGTTTATATATATCCTCCGACCCTGCCGCATTGGCAGCGGCTTATCTACTTCACTGCCTTTTGCGCCCTCACTGCAGCAGCCTTTTTAGGCAGCTGACAGTCACAAAGAGTCATCACAACCGCCACGTCCTCACCATGTCAGCTTCATACACATATAGAGGTATGTACATATATATGTGTATACATACGTACGCGTATATGCATATCTATATATCTCTCCATGTTGATATACTCAGAGCTGGGGCATTACCAGTCTGCCTTCACTGCAGCAGCTTCTTCCTGCAGCTGATACCCAAAACAGCCACCGCATATTCAACAAATAGCCTTACACGGATATATATATACATATACATATCCCAGAGTTAACACCTTCGCATTCGCTGTTCTGCTTCGTTTTTCGTCTGAGCGGTCTCTTCAGCGTCTTCTCCTCGCAGCTCAAGCACACGCACGGTCTCTTCAGCGTCTTCTCCTCGCAGCTCAAGCACACGCACACACACACACACACAAGCGTCACATCCTCCGCATGTTCAGAAAAGCCGCATCGCACATATATACATATGTATACATATGTATGTGTTTATATGCATGTATATATATCTGCACACATAGATGTACATTTGGCTATACAGATATATATACGGGTATACAGGTAGATATATGTATGTGTATATATATCCTTAATCTGGTGCATTGACAGCGCTTATCTATTTCGTTTGCGTCTTGCACCTTCACTGCAGCAGCTACTTCTTGCAGCAGACAGTCATAAACAAGCACCACGACCACCACGCGCTCACCAGCATCAGTCATGTATATATGTTTGTATATATATATATATACATATACATATATATATATACATATATATATGTAGACTTACTGCTTTCTTCTTTCTATTTAACTCTCTTTTCACGCGCTGGTCTGTACGCCTTTTTCGCGTGTTGTACCTCTTCTACGTGCGGCTGCGGGCACGCCAGTCTGTCTGCTGCGCGGCGGGTAAGAGACGGGAACGTTGCTTCTCCCTACGCTGCTGCTCCTGAGGCCGAGACGTCCTCTGTTTCTTCTCTCGCATCTTCCTTCCTCCACATACAAGTGTACGTACATATCTATATATGCATATACTCGTATTCATACACATATATGTACATATATATATGTATGTGGATAAGCAAACGCACTGCTTTCTGCTTTCTTTCTGCTGTTTGACTGTTATCGCTAAGCTGCTCTGAAGGCATCAATGTGGTTGTAATAGTCCTTTGTGCGCTCAGCTCTACGTACCCTTTCTGTTTCCTTTGCGGCGGCCAAGCCCAGAAAACGTTGCATGTCTCTGTGCTGCTTCTCCACACGTCGAGGCGTCTGCTGTTTCCTCTCTCGCATGTTTCCTCCTACATATGTATACATATAGGCGGGGAATATATACATATATATATATATGTACATGTATGTATACATGCAGACTTACTGCTTTCTTCTTTTTATGTAGCTGTTCTCTCGTGAGCTGCTCTGTAGGCCTCCTGGGCAACTTCTACTTCGGTCAAGACTTGTCGGCGGCGCTGGGCCTGCCTGTCTTTGGCGACTTGCACATCTGCTGCGCCTCATTCTCTGCATCAAGCAGCTGCTTCATAGCAGATCCGAAAGCTGCTTGTCTTCTTTCTTGTTGTACTGCAACAGCAGCAGCAGCTGCTGCCCTTTGCAGAGAACCTGTTGACCCTTGGCATGCCGCTGTGATGTCTGTAAGAAGACAGAGATATGCTCAAATTCGTGACTTGATCGTAATCATATACATATATATATACACATATATATATATATATATATTTACGTGTACGTATAGACCAGGGAATATACGAAGACCGGTGGCTAGAGGTGAATAACTTTTGACATGCTGAGGGCGTTGTATGCTACAAAATACAGATAATGCATATCTATGGTCATATCAGGATCGTACACATCCACATATATATGTATAGATACATTAATACATATAGATATATGTACATATATATGCGTGCGTAGGAAACAGAAATAGAAGAACATCTGTGACACGCAGTTAAGGGTCCTCGGCATGCTGATGTGATGTCTGTCAGAAGACATCTATACGGCCACATATGTACGTATACATACATGTATAGAGGGTGTACGTGAAGGATATGAAATGGAAGACTTTCTAAGCCAAGAAAGGACTGAACCCTGGCGTACCGATGCGCTCTCTCCAGAAAAAGGTGGACGCGACGTAAATAGACCAAAAACGGATGAGTCCTAGCATGTCGATGGTTTGTCTGTGAGCAGGCTGACATTGGACGGCACACGTAGATGTATACGTGCATATGTATCTATATGTAAGGTCATGAAATTGGCGAACATTTGAGATAAGGAATGAATGGCGTTTGCCATGCTGATGTGCCATCTGCCAGGAGACACAGATATGTGTATACATGCGTATATGTATGTACACATATATACATATGCACGTAAAGAGTGTGCAAGAGACGAACACCTGAAAAAAGGAGCGAACAAGACCCGGTCTGCTGGAGCGAGGCCTGCCGGAAAATAGAGATACGAACACCTACGTATATATATACATAAAACTTTATATGCACTTGAAGCATACGAAATAGACGGAGAGCTGAGGCAGAAAACGAATGCCGGTGGGTTTACTGCTGGATGTTATAGATATGAACACGAATATATAAACATATATGTATGTAGAATGTATTGAGGAACATGTGAGGCAAGGAGTAGAGGATATTTAGGCAACTTGGATATGACTTCTGTCAGAGTATATACAATTGATTACATACGTGAAGATGCATATGTAGCTCTTTTTACGTATATGTATCCGAAGAATATGAGTTAGAAGAACATCTGAGATAGGAAATGAATGACTCCTGGCATGCAGACGTCACGCCTTCTAAAAAATATAGATACGGCTTAAATAAACAAGAGGCGAAAAAAAACCAAGCACAGCTCCAAGAGGAAAATCACAGACAGGAGATAAAAGAAGATAAAGCGTAACCCCAAGAGGAGAATCATGAGGCGGGAGAGTCTGCGAATGACTTGAGAACAGGCAAAAGAGTCACCAATTGATGAAAAGATGACCTAAGCCTTAGTAGACGCAAGGACACAGCAAGCAACCGCAGCGGGAATGTCGGAGAATGATGCAGAAGAAATTAAAAGAAGCAAGAAAGTCTACTGCAGAAACAGGAGGGACTGAAGTCGAAGACAAACCCCGGCGAACAAAGAAAGAAGGATAGCAACCAAGGAGCCGGTGCCAACCAGGCAAGTTAAACAAAAAGAGCCCGAGCAAGAATAATGCACACGCGGAAGCAGAGAGGGGAACGTAATAAAGCTAATAGGCAGCAGCAGAAGATGTGAGAAAGCAGAACGAGGGGGATCAACAGAAAGAGAAGGAAGAAGGAGCAGCAGCAGCCGGCAGTAGAACGAAGACAACGGTACTGTGGTAGAAAGAGGCAGAGAAAGAGGGCGACGCCCCAGTTCCAACGGCGTCAAGTCTTCCAGACGTCTCCGCTGCTAAGCCGTCCTAGCATAATGGCACCGCAGCCGTTCATCGTTATGCGGAAAGCGCTGTCACCTGTATAAGTACATATATATATGATATATAGATTTGTGTGTACACATATGTTGTGGACGTACGCATGCTTGTGTATACATGAAGTGTATACGTACGACGTGTACATATATATATATATATATATATATATATATATATGTATATATGCATTGGTACCTAGAAGGAGACACATGCACGTACGTAGGCGTAGAACTCGGTCTCATTTTACACGTATATATACGTATATACCCAATATCGTGACTCCTGGCCCGCTACATATATCTCTACACTACACAGAGATGCACGTTGTTCTTGGTACCAGCACAGGTGGACGTTTCTCTTTTGTAACATTTTGTATGAAGTTGTTTCGCCACCCCAGGTGCGAGTGTAGAGATGTCGTTCGGTCTATGCTTCCCTGTAAGGCAAGCGTAACGCTTTCTCCCTACCTATATATATATGTGTATAAGTATATAGTATACTATATATCCCTGTATATGTATGTTTATGTGGCGTGCCTAAAAGGAAAACCCACACATACGTCACGCTAATGAAGCGGTCTAAAGGGCCTTCTTGTCGCCTGAGTGCACTCGTGAATGCAACATGCGATAGTTGTGCTCCTTCGCATATGTGTGGACGCCGCCGCCTTCTTCGTCTCAATCGTAGCGAACACGAACAAGTTCGCTTTCCTCACAGGTATATTTGTCCATACGACATAAGTGTACATATGTCCCTTTCCCATACTCTTGGCGTTCGCAGCGGCTTCCTTGAAGGAGGAGCAGCGGTAAGTGTTCGTACGTCACCGTACACAGAAGCAGAAGGGTCGTCCACCATAAATATATATATATGTGTATATACGTATATATATATGTATATAAGTGGAAAATTCACTATGTAATGCGAGGTAAACGCTTGTCCAGACTGCTACGCTTGTGGCTAGTAGGTAGCCGCATGCAGAATAGTGAGGTATACATATATATGGCTGCGTATATGCGGAAAATTCTACTGTCGGCATCTAACATTGAAGGAAAGCATTTGCCTGCACATTCAGGCGGTGCTGCAAGAGGTATCGGGCACTCCCCGCTGAAACCAGAACAACAGTTCTGCACAGAAGTGAATAGGCGCAGGACTCTCGAGAAGTACACGTATACATATATATATGTGTATGTATACCCATATATGTATGTATGATGAAAACAGGCGTTGTTTGATTCCTCGCAGTCGACGAAAAGAAGGCGAAGGTTCACACGGAAAGCACGTTGTCGGTGCGGCAGGGAAGCATGTGCCGAACAAAAGTCTCTATTTCCAGGGCGCTGATGACTCACGGACCTTGCTTTACCATGCACTCATGCTGTGAGGCGTACAAGCAAACGTATATACATATATATATTCATGTATATATATATATATATATGCATGCCCCTGTGTTTACGAGCGTTACACACATTCACCTATACACGTGGGTTATGTATCACAAACACTGTAACTTTTCCCACCCTGCAACAACAAATCTGCTAGTGAGAGAGCCCGTGGAGACGCACGTGTACACAAGCATTACAAACGTGCACATATATGTGTGGGTTATGTATGTAGTATGAACATTGCTGTTTTCTACTCAGACAAAAGAGATCAGCTACTGAGGGAGCCGGTATAGATCCATGTGCATATAAGCGTTACACCTGTCCAGGTACATACGTGGGATACGTACTAGGAAGATTGTTACGTTTCTTACGGATTTGCCTGCTAGAAGGTCTATATGGATGCATCTGTATGTAAGCACTACAAGCATCCAAGTACGTACGTGGATTTATAAAATTTGAATTCTGCTACGATTCCCCGCAAAGAGAACGGATCTGCTGGCGAGGGGGCCCCCCTGTAGTGTGGCGGACACTTACGGGCATAGGTACACATGTGCGTATGACCAGTACACACCTAGACCTATATACATGGTCTATATACTATGATATTATTTATCTACCTAGAGAGAACAGATCTGCCGGTGAGACGGCCCACAGCTTATTGCAGCAGGCTTCGTACGCGTCCTCATCAATTCTCCCATCAGCAGCTGCTTCCTTTCCGATTGACGAGTTTGATGAACTAGCAATGTTTTTGTGCTGTTTCTCGGAAACATCTGCTTCACTTTCCGTCCACGAATTGACTACTCCTCTCGAAGACTTCCAAGGCCAGGCTGGAAAATCTTGCCTGCGTTGTTGTACTGCGCTGGTCACCCTTTCGAGCTCGTGCTTCTGCTGCTGCTGCTGCTGCCGCACTAGCTGCTGCTGCTGCAGTTGCTGCCGCGGCTCCCACAGTGGCGGCTGCTGCAGTTGCAGCTGCTGCAACTGCTGCGCATCCACTTGTGAGAGGTGCCCGACGCTTGCCGGACGCTGCAGCAGGAGCTTCTGTCTCTGTCCCGGAGACGTCTGCTGCGTTTGAAGTATATATCCGCCTCTCGGCCTTAGGAACTGTGGCAGCATTGCAGACGGCCCGGGTGCAGCTGCTGCTGGTGCTGCTGCCTTCAAGCCTCTGGCAGTCTGAGGGAGGACCACCCGCCCCTCATAACCAGCTGTCTTCGCTCCACCTAGCGCAGGTTGTACACGTGCCGCTGCTGCTGCTGCCGGTCGTGTACGAGCTGACGCTGCTGCTGCTGTTCTCGCCGCAGCTGCTGTTGGTGCCGCTGCAGCTGCCACTGGTGCTGTTGCTGCTACTGCTTGTGCTCCATCTAGTGTTATGCCCCCTGGTTCTATCGGCAGCATACGCGGTGGGAGCCGCAGGGTGGAAGGTGTGAGCGACGGCGGCCGGACGGTTCCATGAGCAGCAGCTACGGCAAATGTGCGTAGAGGCGTTGCAGCAGCAGCAGCAGGAAACGGGGGCGTAGCACATACAGGAGTAGGTGTTGTACGCAGTGTAGAGGTGGATTTCACGTCTCTTCTAGGCGGAGGAACCGGTGGGTGGGGCTGGCCTGCTGTTTTCGTCTCCGCTGCGCACGCACAGGGAAACAGCAGCAACCACGGCTATACACACATATGTACTAGTATATAGATACACATACATACATATAAAGTAGCGGAAATGAGAGCAGGTCGCCAACTACCACTGCAGCTGCCGAGAAGGAAGGTAGTGGTCACCTATGCAATATGTGCAAAACCCGCTTTTGTATGTGTTACACCCTCATATAATCATATATGTATATACGTATATGTTTATATATACGTATACTATTCGCTATGACGACGCCAGCGTGTATATGCCCTGCGCCCTCATGTATGCGTATACGTATATAGGGATAGGTATATATTAAGACGTGCTCAGTTGAAATCAAAGGTGCTTCTTTCTGCTCCTCGGGGCCGCCCTTGAGTCTGTTGTTGCTGTTGTCGTTAACGTCGTGCTGCTGCTGCCGTTCAGCTCGTGGGCTGCTGCCGTCGTTCAAGTTGTGGGCTGCTGCTGCTTCTGCCGTCCAATTTGAGGGGTGCTGCTGCTGCTGTCGTTCAACTCGAGGGCTGCTGCTGCTGCTACTCTCGTCCAACTCGAGGGCTGCTGCTGCCGCTGCTGTCGTTCAACTCGTGAGCTGCTGCTGCTGTCATCCTACCGCTGCAACGACTGCTGCTGCCGCCGTTTCCCTCGTGCTGCTGCTGTCGCTCGACTCGTGCTGCTGCTGTCGTTCGACTTGTGAGCTGCTGCTGTCGTTCTGCCGTCCTACCGCTGCTGTTCGTGTCGTCATACCTGTGCTGCTGCTGTCGCAATACGCATGCTGCCGTTGTCGTTCGACTCGTGCTGCCGCTGTCATTCGCCTCGTGCTGCTGCCGCTGCCGTTCGACTTGTGCCGCTGCTGGTGCTACTCCTGCTGCTAATACTCGTGCTGCTGCTGTTGCTGTCGTAATGGTCATGCTGCTGCTGTCGTCGACTCGTGCTGCTGTCGCTTTTCGACTTGTGCTGCTGCTGATGCTACTGTGAGTGCTGCTGCGGCTGGTGTGTGCATATGTGTGTGCGTGTCTGTCTGTGTGCTCTGAGTTCTTACCTGAGCTAACGCCAGCTCCACGTGCAGCAAAGCCGGCCTGCCTGCGTCCACCAGAAGCCGCAGCAGAACGGACGCCAGTGAAAGCAGCACCAGCTGCAGCAGTGGCTGCGGCCTTCCGAACTGCACATCCATCAGTTGTAAGGCTAGTGTTAGCCGTCTTATCTGCTGCTGTGGCGAAACCTATCCCCGTCTCCCTAGCGTTAATTAGTCGTTTCTTTGCATCGTCAAATTCGAAAGAATGAGTAGTGAATGCCTCCCCCTTCCCAGTAGCTGCTGCAGTTGCCAATATCTCTTCACTTCCACGGGCTGCAGATACATCGAGCTCCCGCACTGACATATTACTTACTGAAGTGGCTGCTGTGTCTTGGCCCTGGAAAATGCATGCCGCACGCCCTCTTGCGCCGCGTCTTTCTCCTCCTGCCACATCTGCTGCTAGGGCTGCTGCACCTGCACTTCGCCCGATTTGCACTGTCCCAAACGCAGCTGCTGCTGCAGCACCGCCTGCTGTTGGTGCGACTGCGGCACCGCCAGCTGGTGGGGCTGCTGCTGCAGCGCGGCCTGCTGCTGTTGCTGTTGCTGTGCCACCGTCTGCTGCTGCTGTCGCTCTCCTGACATCTTCTCTTTGTTGCAGGGCTGCAGGTGGTGAGTCTGCCTGGGAGGCTGCGGCCGCTGCTGCTGCAGAGCCGCCTGCTGCTGCTGGTGCAGAGCCGCCTGCTGCTGCTGGTGCAGCCCCGCTCGCTCCTGTTGTTCTTCTTGGTCCCGCATTTTCCCTTTGTTGCAGGGCTGCAGTCGGTGAATTTGCTAGTGGCCCTGGGTTAGCTGCTGCTGCCGAGCCGCTTGCTGCTGCTGCTGCCTCTGATGCAGCCCCGCCTGCAGCTGTTGTTCTTCTCACATTTCCCTTCTGTTGCAGGGCTGCCGATGGTGAATTTGCTGTGGTTGCTGCTGTCAGCGCAGCGCCAGGTGCTGCTATCCCAGTGCTAATCGGTACACGAGCCACGTCCTTCCTGCTGCTGCTGCTGGAAGCTGCAGCTATTACGACGTGAGAACTACAGCTTCTAAATGCAGCAATGTTTCCTCCTGGGGCGGAGGCTGCTGAGACAGCAGAGGCTGCTGCGGCTACTGTGGTCCTGCGTAGTGCGCCAGTGCATGCGTAGACAGGAGTTATGTTTGGCGTCTCTGACAAGCCCCCTTCACGCAGGTATACATAGCCGCTACTCGGTCTGCTGCTGCTGCTGCTTGAGAGAGACAGCTTCCCCGTTTGGCTGCCACTTCTCACAAGTGTGATGGAGGAAAAGGAAGAGTGTTCCTGGCGGGCTGGAGAGGCAGCACCTGCGGCAGATGCATGCGATCGAGGCCCTCCGTGGTACGCACCACATGCCGAATCATACAATTCACACAGAGGAGGGCTTCTACCAGGAGATGCAGCAGTCACGTATCTCTGCTGCTGCTCAGAAACGTATGCCGCCGGGGCCGAGGCTGGTGACGATTGTGGCTGCTGAGGAGCGGAGGAGACTGCGGACGGCTGCTGCTTGTGAAACGCGGAGAATCTCTGGTGCTGCTGCTGCTTGTGGGAGAGAAGAACAAACTGAGGGAGAAAGGTCACCTGCTGCTGCTGTTCACGTTCTCGAGCAGGAAACGTCTGATGGTCATCAAAACTGGAGGACGCATGCGGCTGCGGCGTCCTGACAGAGGGAAGAACCGACGGATGAAGAAAGGCCGTCTGCTGTTGCTGCTGTTGCTGCCCCTGTACGCTTTGTTGCCTCTGACCAGGTACAATCCGGTGCTGCTGTCGAAGCTGCTGCTGCTGCTCTTCGCGTTGGGGGACCTGTGAGTACTGGCAGACGTCCAGATGCAAGGAGGGAACACGGCGCAACTGCTGCTGCTGCTGATGGAGGAAGGCCACCTGCTGCTGCTCCTGTACACTGTGTCGCCGCTGACTAGGAACCGCTTGCTGCTGCCATCGAAGCTGCTGCTGCTGCTCTTCTGGCTGGTGAGCCTGTGAATAATGATAGATGTCCAGCTGCAAAGAGGGGACACGGCGTAGCTGCTGCTGCTGCTGCACAGCCTGACGGGAAAAGGCCATCGGCTGCTGCTGCTGTACGCTTTGCCGCCGCTGACCAGGAACAACGTGCTGCGGCCACTGAATCTGCAGCTGCTGCTGCTGCTGCTCTTCGCGTTGATAGGCCTCTAGATGGCGATAGACGTCCAGCTGCGGAGAGGCAACATAACGAAGCTGCTGTTGCTGCTGCTGGTGGTCGGGTGGGAGGTCCTGGTGCCATGGTCGCCAACCCCCGGAGGACATATATTGGCTCATTTTCTGCTGAGAACATGTTGCGCTGCTGCTGCCGAGTCTGAGGAGACGCACCGTCCCAGCTTCTACTATCGTGTGGGCACTAGACTAGTTAAAGTACGTGTCTTATACATATGTGTACGTGTATGTAACAGAAGTATAACGTTGGACACGTCTTCCCAACGTACAGTTTCTTCGTGGGAGACCCAACGGGAAGATTTATAACAGACGGATCTTGCCGAAGCTGAGACGGCGTACGCTCGTGGAACGGTGCACATACATATGATTTATATATGGACTGCATACGGTCTAAAACACCTCTCTATGTATACGTAAATATAGATACATATATATGTGTACGTATATATATACATATACTGCATACCGTCTGGCACATGCTATCTATCTGTCTATTTGTCTATCTATCTGTCTATCTATCTATCTATCTCTGTTTCTCTCTCTCTCTCCAAATATATGTATGTATATATATGTAAAACCGGCGCTTTACCGCCGCATAGGGCACCATATTACAGCCACACCTGCGTCAGCCTGGCCGTGCTGCTGTGTCTGCGATACAGATGTCATCAGCGGCAGTCCAGCGTACACAAGCAATCTATCGTAAAATAATGTACACACGTACATGTATCCCATGAGGAGACGTGAAGAAGGACGTAAGGAAAACATCCGGACAATAAAGCAGTCCTCTTTTGCTTGGCGACGTAGAGCCTTGGTTGCACGTGCTCGCCCTGTATGCAGCCGTCCTTTCTTCTCTAGCCGATGAAGGCACTGAAGGGCAGATACGGCCTGGTGTGTGGAGAAATTTGCCCGTGCGAAGCGGGGCGCAAACATGGTGACACAATTATTCATGTATGCGCACATACATATCAACACGTCTCAGATATATGGATTGGGCGACACGCAAACATAGTTTAATCGCACATATATTCCAGAAAATGTTAGTGCGCATGTTCACGGATGGCATGTACGTACTGCCACACACCCACCAACTGCGGCTACAAAGCGGACGCCTTATCGGGCGCAGATATCTAGTGGAAAGGGCTTTTATTATTGCGCACGGTACCGTTTCTGACGTGACCGCGGTATTCTGGCCCCAGTCAAGGGTCCTTACAGCCACCTGTCCTTTGCCCTCCCCTTCCTTTACTCCATAGAGACATACATGGCGGGCGTTCACCACCACGGACGGTGGCTGGGTTGCCTGGCATCCGCACGTGTACAAGTGGGAGAACTGTCGGGTTCAGTACTCCTTGCATCGAGGACCTATATACACATTCGCAAGAGCGCTACGATTAGTAGAATGTGTGTAACCGGTGTGCCTCACATCTGCATGTGTGCAGGTGGGCAAGTTCTGCGGTGATAAGTACTTCCCGCATCAATGACGTGTACACACATTCGCAAGAGCGCTACAGCCTGAAGAGTTGCCGAGACGTACGACAACAAATATATATATATATATATATATATATATATATGTATACATATACGTATGGTCTCTGCTTATCTGTGGAGCCTGAGCAGGGGAGCGCGCGTGCTTATATATATATATACGTATGTACATGTTCACATAGGCGCACACATGTGCACTGTGTTATTAACACCAGCATGTGCCAGGAGCCGGGGCGCGCAGTCGGTGCTGGTGGGAAAGAAACTTCTCTGTTTCTAGTTCGCACGCGCACACACACAGATAGTCGCATGGCTGATACCACTTTCCGGTGCAGACCCCGAGTGCTTCTAAAAAGGATGACTGTAATCTGTTTGTGCTGCGGTCACGTTTTCCGTGACATCGCAAAGTAAATAAGTTCTGCGGTTCGAGCCACAGATTCCCAGGGCACCTGCGCCTGCGGCGTCGTCAGCCTTCCTCCCGTCGCGAGCGAAGGCTAGACGAGCTGCAGAGCCGCCGGCGCGTTGTTGATGTCCGAGCAGCATCCAGTTGTACGCGCAACTACACGTCAGAAATCCGTGTGGGTGGATCTACGCATATGATAAAACTCGTGTTCCACATTTTTGTGCTGATCGTAGTCCCTTCCGCCTGCGCTCCAGCCGGGTTGCTGGCGATTCGTTGCAGGGCCGCAGGCGCGCGGTCGATGGCCAGGAAGCATCCAGCTGTATGCGCGACCGCCACCCATGAGTCCACATGTGCGGATCTTCACTCTTGTAGATGTCATATTATTGCGTCTGTGTTCTGATGATATTCCCTTCTACCTACGCTCCGGTCGAGCGACGGAGATTTCGTGTGAGAGAATCACACAGAAGCCTGTCGGCGCACACGGATCTAGCGGTGCAGGATATGCAAGAGATGGTGAATGTTGTCTCTGTCATCGCCTGGTAGCGAACTCTGGGAGAAGCTACTATTGCATCGCTGATAAAAGCGACTCCGAGCGCGAAATTCCTCAAGATTCGAATTCTCCTCCGCCCCACGGTGTCTGCTGCGGCGTCCGTAGACCCCAGCACCAGCTTGCCACGCCGCACCTGCCGACAGCGCGCTGCGTTGCTTACCGCTTGCAGGAGAAAAAAAAAGCCGCAGATCAGTCCGCCTGCCCGTTTTGATTTGAGGACGGGCGTTGTGGACGGGTAAGGGAGGGGAAACATTAGGCTCCAGGTAGACACTAGAGCACAGCAGACCTCGGTGAGCTAAGCCTGCTGCAATACTTAGCACTTGCAGTAGAGAAAGAGAGCCACGAACCTGTTTGTAGCACCTAGTGCCTGTTTCACATCAAGAATGGATGTTGTGTAAGGGTAAGGGACAGCAAACGCTAAGCTAGAGACACACAATATAGCAAACTAGACCTTCGCGTGCCAGGCCCGCTGCACTAGTCGGCACTTGCAGCGGGGAAGGCCCATAACCTGTCCGTGGCACGGGCTGGCGGTTTCACATTCAGAACGGATGTTGTTGTCAGGTCAACAAGAGGAAATGGTTGGTTACTGGTAGACAGTACAGCAAACCAGGCCTTTGCGAGCAAAGCCGGCTGCGATACGTAGCACTTGCAGGGTACAAAGAAAGCCAAAGACCTGTACGTGGCGCCAGCTGCCCGTTTCAGACTCAGAATGGACGCTGTGCACAGGTCAAAAAGAAAAGCGGTCGGCTCAAGTAGACGATACCGCACATCAGGCCCCTAGTGAGGTAACCCCTCTGTGATACCTGGCACCCGCAGGAGAGGAGAGAAACCACAAATCTCTACGTAGCTGTGACGGCCGGTTTCGCGTGCAGAACAGACGTGGCGTACGGATTCTGGAGAGCAAATGGTAAACTCCAGGCAGAGAATACGGCAAATCAGGCCTTGCTGGGCCGAGCGCGCCGCACCAGTTGGCACCGGCACGGGGCAGGGGAAGCCACAGACCACTCGGTAGCTTCGACTGCTTGCTTCGCAGTTAAAATGAATGTCGTCTCCGACTTTCAGGGGAGCAAACGGTGCATTCCAGGCAGAGACTACAGCATATTAGCGTTCGCTGTACGTGTGCAGCGCAGTACCACCTGTGGTTGCACTTCCTTCGCGGTGGCGGCTGGCAGCTATCATCTCTTCCTGCTCTACTCTGGAGTGCGTGCTGCACGGGTGCCAGCGAACCCCGGCACCTGAGGAGGCGATACGTTCACGTACATATGCTATACATACTTGTAGAAGTGGTAAGAGGATTACTTCTGCCTCTTCAGCTTTACGTCAGCGGAGTAGTGGGCTGGCGGAGTCTCAGGCTCTGCCTCACAGGCGCTTTGTTGTGGAATGCAGTTAGCAGAGTGGTCACACCTGTGCGTTGGCGCCTTTTACCTGCTGGCTGCCTGTTTGAGCTCTTATATTGTAGATTTTCAGGACATCATCTATGTGGCGTCGTGGCTTTTCCTCTACACAGTGTGAACCCTCTACTGCGTCGCCGGCTTTCTTCTGTTTGCCACTGCTTGAGCCGTACTGTGTTGCTGTGTTAGTCTCGCTTCGCGTCTGCCTACCGGCCAGAAAATACAAATGCTGTACATCTGCAGTGCTTGTAGCAGCCCATTTTCGCACGGATGATTATGAGTTCTACGAAGGCAACCTAGGTTTATTGACTCCGTGTCCTGTTTCACTCGCGAAGCGCCCGCACCTTGCCAGAGTAGCCGCACGGTGTACTGCCCGCGACCGCCTTTCTCCCGCCGTGGCTTCGCAGAGAACACTCTCCCTTTTTCCTTCCACGCCATCAGGAACCCCCTTGTTGGCTACGCCCCTCTGCTGTGAGAGAGCACACGCGCATTGTGGGTTATCCCGACTTTACTGCGGCGGAGAAATACCGTATCTGTCTCTCCCGGCCGTGAGAGTCTCGGTCGGAACAGCACTGTTCTGCGCATTAGTTCCATTTTCGCCTCAACATAATCAGCATTATACGTCTACATTGCTGGGTCTTGCCGCTCAAACGGTGCGGTGGAGCAACACTGCAGGATGCGCTCTCACTCTCTTGGGAGCTCTCCCCTTCGAGGCATTCCGCTAGCCTTTTCAGAACCCCGTTGAAGCGCCGAGTGTTCGCAAGTGTACTCAAAGGAATCCCGCCGATATCCTTGAGACACTGTAGCAGAAAGTCTGGCCTACAGTGCTTTGCACGCGTTTGATTTCTGCTGTGACCAAATTTCAACCCCACTGCAGCCTGTGTCGCCTGCAGCTGGTGCGACACCCTCTTTCATCTACCGCAGCATTGAGAGTTGCTGAATCACACTTGTTCAAGAGCAGACAACAACCGCTCGCTGACAGTGGGCTCGGAAGCACCTGCGGCACGAGTCACGGTTCCCCTTTGCGCCTTGTAACTCTCCTCCGACGTTCTTGACAGCACTGCAAGCAAGCCCGTTGGCGCAACTTTGATCAATCGCCCCCATGGGCGCGTCCAATTCAGATTCCCCCTGCACCAGCAGCGAGTTTCGGCGGCGTAGCCCTTGCTCACGAATATTTTCTTACCTTCGCTTCGGACGCTGTAAGTAGTGCAGTTTCATTTCTCTCTCCTTTGGTGTACGAACACCAAACTCACACAGAAGGCTGCACTGGCAGCGTCGTCCCCCGATTCGTCGGCTTCGCCTTTGCGCACTTGGATAATATCGGTTCCAGCTCGGAAACTCGGAATAGTTGCAATCGATCCTCTTACCTCCTTCGTGTAGTCGACTTCCCCCGTATCCGGTAAAACCAGCGCAGTCAGTAGATACGTAGGGGGAGCCTACGCCCAGCACACGTACACGCGCCAAAATGTTTCCAGCTGTATACCGCCTCCAGCGAAAGACTATGCCTCCTCAGCTGCGTCCGGTCAAATACAATTTCTCGCTGGCATGCCCGCTCGAGCGCGTGGTTTTCGTCGGCGGACCGCGAGTCGCAGCATATCCTCCAGCTCGCTTTTCATGATGTCAGCGTGAAAGTAGACGGAGACTTTTGGACCGTTTGCGTAGCGCTCATACCCAAGTGCTATAGTTCGCATGTACACACGTATAGCGGAAAGTCCTGTACGCAAGATGGGGTTCTTTATCAAAGCCAGCTTGGAGCGGTGCAGCTGGTAGTGGATGCAGCATAGGCACATTCGACGCAACACATAGCCGGATATACCCTGGGCCAAACGACTTCCCTGAGTTACCCGTCACGTCATGGAGCAGCTAACAGCGGGTGTCACTGAGGCGCACCCAGCTAATTTTGCTTTCTCCCTTTTGCTGCGACGATGCAATACGGCAGCTGTGAGTAGGAGCGTGCCTAAGATAGTGCAATCTGAAATGCGAGCGCAGACGCGTCTCATCACCAGATAATTCACCCACATGCCTCTGCAGTACAAACGCGCTTGTCACGGTAACAACCGTCTTCCTCTGCAGGGCAGAGCCATGTGTGCGACGAATTGCCTTCTTCTGTATACGCCTGCCCTACACGATATCTGAAGACGAGTAGCTGTCGCACCGCTACATGCATGCCAGCAGCCGGCCGCCACAGCCTGGCATACGGCTGCACGCTGAGACAAAGCGTGGATGCTAGCAATGCGGTATCGCGCATACTGGAGGTGCCCCTGTGTACAGAGGAAGGCTGTCTGAGTGTATAGGACTATGCCAGGTCGCCTACGTATAAGCAGAGCGGTAAGCGGCGTGAGAGCAGAAAGGTGCGTCCAACTGCTCGGCTCTCGCCGCGTTGAAAGACACACAGTCGCCTGCAAAATGGTACACTCAGAGTCGTGCATAGAAAACGCTGCGCGTGTATACACGTCTAAGCACTCGGATACACAGACGTGTACGCGTGGCATATTCAGATTGGTGCATAAAAAACCTTGCGCGGGCGGGCATGCTTGAAGGTCCTCATATACGGACGCAGAAGCACAATTCCAGCCTCTCCGCCCCACTACGAAGCTCCCTGAAAAATGCGCACCGTATTTTTCAAGGATTTATACTCCGGGGTTTTAGCGGCACAAAGCTCCATCTTGGGACCGCGAAGCGTAGCAGCGCAACGTGCGCTGCCGACTTATCAGTCGGGCAGATGCGGTTTAGTGTCTAAGAATTGGAAGGGGCACTGCAAAAAATTGTTCTCGCGCAATATTTTTGGGTGCTCAGGTTTTCCGGCGCCCGTAGTGTCTGTATCCTATTGCGGAGACGTCACGAGGGCGCGTCGGCTCGGATTTCTGGTCACTTCAGCTATGCGTCCGTTCCCCCTGGCAGCCTAGGGAAAAATGGGTGTGAATTCTAAGACAGGAGAATGCGTAGGGTGGCGGCCCCCGCGTTTTCGCTTAACGCTAACAACGGCAGCGATTACTGAATTGCGAGCCGGGCAAAAGTTTGGGCTTTTTAGACAGGAGAATAGGTAGGTTGGGAGTGACGCGTTTCCGACCAACGTTCACACCGAGAGCAAGCAGTAGATTCTCCTTCTATGCCAGGCTTTGTGACCGTGAAGCGGGAAAACACAATTGGCGAAGAGACGCCCTTGGCGGTGGGCACGCAGGGGCGAGTGCATCACGTGGCCGCCGAGGCTGCCACCTCGTAATGTGGTACATCTGATCGACAGATTTACATAACGCGTACTCTGTTACGTACGATTATACATGTAAGCACCATCACCATTACTGTGTGCCTATATATAGAGCTACCCTCGACGGAACGTCACCATGTTATCGTGTTCGTGCGTAGCTTTGTGTTTGCGCATGCATCAGGAATTACGGTATGCGGTTTCAACGAGCGGGTTACTCTTGTGCTATAAAGAGCGGCACGCATAACATTCAAACGGCCTGCCCAAGCAGTCACGAGGAGGAATCGTGTAGACGTGAGATGTCGGGATATACAGTAGCGGCGAGTGGGTGAGGACAGGCGTTCAGTCTAGAGTGCGGCCTTCTTGTGTGAAGCTATGCATCGGAAGTGAAGCAGTGACGCAGGCCTTATTTATCTGTGTGCCACCGGCGTGCGGGGGAGCCCACACGTGTTCTTCATCCGCTGGTAGTTTACATTATGTGAAAGTGAATAAAAACGTTTATAATAATACGTACATCAGCGGATATCTGTACTTTCATTTGTATGGAGTGCTCAATGTACAACTGTATACATGTATGATTGACAACTCGTACAGCAGGTGGTTAGGTTATATATTGCGACCGGTTAGGGTGGGGAGCTCCGCCGCGTGAACCAAGAGCCAGTGTGGGAGTAGTGCGCTTCTCTCTAAGGACGCGCGTAACCACTGCGTATCCCCTCCCCCCCGCCACTCCGCTAGCCATACAGTTACTTTTCTAACGACTATTAACGCTGTGCATCAGTATCTTTCCTGCATCTGTTAGCGATGGCGTAGGCGGCACGTACGCGCAAATGTCTGCAACCCTCGGCATGTATTCTCCACTAGTCTAACGTGAATCCGCGCGAATTTATAAATACATGTCTACAGAGAGCTTCGTCCCTATATATCTGTAAAAAGCAACGAATGTATCTTTGTATATACAAATACATGTGACAGCATACTGCACGTGGTCTTCGCGTGAGTTCTACCTGAGGTGGCGCAGCGCTTCGCCGCGTGGACTGAGAGCGAGTGAGACAGTGTTGCCTTCTCTTTACGGGCGGATGTACTCACAACGGAACCACCATGGCTCCGCTACCCATGCAGTTACCTTTGTAGCGCCGGGAAATGGTGCATCAGTGTCTCTCCTAAGTCTGCATGTTGAGGCTTGGGCCCGGCGGCTGCTGGTGGCGAGCATGTACGCGTCGGCGTCTGCACGCCCGGCGACTTGGCTTCTAAAGGTGAAGCTGGCGGCACGTGTAGAGGGGGCGGTGAACCTTGAGGTGCGTCCACAAGCGGACTGTATCCATGTAGAGTGCATCTGCATACACATGCGGAAGCCTCTTCGCTTTTGTACATAGTAGCGACGCACAGAGGAGGTAACCGTGAGCTCGTACACACTCAGCTGCATGAACACACGCACGTGCGCTGGTTTTACGCTCGTAGGAAGCCGTGCAAACTGCACACGCACACACACAGACTATTCGCGGCACCCTGTGGTGTTCACCGGCTCCCAGGATGTCAAAAGGCTCCGTCAGGTGCCGGCGTGCCGTGGCTGTCTACTTGCACGTCACTTTCTCCTAATGTGCCTGCTTCTCAGATGTGCCCTACTCTCATCTCTCTAGCTGCCTATCAGGGTCAAGAGAGAGACGCGACCGTGACGGTGCCGCTGCTTCCTGCTCGGACACGGCACCGTAGTACGTGTCGCAGTGGGGTGCAGTGCAAGAAGGAGAGAGTCCCGTCCCCAAAATATGCTCCTGCCTAGTAAAGCCACAAGCGCCAAAGCGTACGTCAGCAAAAATCGCCTTACTTCCGCAAGGGTTTGTCGCAGGGGCGCGCTACCCGCAGGCTGCTCGGCGAGGCGTAAACCTTCCGTACAGTGAAGCTACTAAGAAGAGTTATAATGATATTATAACTTTTTTTTCTACATAGAAGAGCGGGCTGCATTTTGTCGCAGGCTCTCGCGCACGCGCTAGCCTACCCCAGCAGAACGTGTGTTCCAGTACCAGTACTGGTACTGAATCCAGTACCAGTAGGCCCTGCGCTCTAGCCTGGCCCTGCCCCTACTGACAGGCAGCACATAAGGTAAGCTGCGTAGAAACGTCTCTCCCTATTTGCTGTATCGTCCTTTTGTGCATACACAGCCACATCGGGGAGCGTCCGTGGGGACAAAATTCGTCTTCCGTACCCCTGCGAGAACGGTTCGCCGGCACACATGCACACCTGTACGTCTGTAGAAACTAAGAAATAGCACGCTGAAATTACCTCCATGGATAGGCGCCGCAGCAAACGCTACTGGCGAGCGCACGCGTAAATATTAGAACGTAGCGTAGCGTGCACGTCTGCAAGCGACCACCTCGCGTCCTCATGAAGCAGGCATGCATAAAACGTGCTGGGGACAAGCGTAACGCAACTGTATACGTGTATGACTTGCGCCCGGCTGCCAAAGGCAGAGAAAGAGAAAGCCGGGACAGCGAGCTACACACGAGGAAAGGCGACGCAAGCGGGCGGCCGCCTTTGCTCCTGCGTAAGTTTTCTATTCCGCGCGCTTCCTTTCTGTGTGTTTCTTCTTTCCTTTCCAACTACGTCCTCACGACTGCACGTACTCGGCTTGCTGCGAAGGTAAGCTGCTTCAGCTGAGATTATGTTCTTGGACACATTGGAATGCACAAAGCTGGGGCAGGCTTCGGGAGGACCAGCGCCTATGCACGTACGTCAGACTATAGCCGGCAAGAGCAAGAAGGGGAGTAGTGGTCCCAGACAGGCGTTCATACGGGCGGTGGGCCATTCCTACATTACGGCGACGTCCGTCTCTCCTGTGTTTCTCGTGACGTATGCCCCTCCGCGCAAGCAGCGTCACCAGGTATTACCCACCGCAGCGTACGCGTGCGTGTCAGTAGATTTTCACTCGGACAGTCTGGCTTCAGACGTCGTGCTCATACCAGTGCCTGCATTTTGTGCTCGTAGAACACCTCCACAGACCCGCGGCTGCGATAGGGAGGACGTCAAGCCTGTCTTCGTAAGAAGTGTATATGGTGCTGACCTTTGAGTTTTTTGTGTCCGACGCACTACGACTGTAGCCCGGCGAACTTCCTTGTTTCTTCACTGCGCCAGACTTTCCGACCCGAAGCAATAGTGTACCCTGAGTCTGGATTGTTTGATATTTTCACGGAGCTCTCTCAGACCGATACCTCGAGCCCGGGTTGTTGCACAACTCTCACGAAAGCCTTACCCGGACGAGCCTCGGGGGAGTCCTTTAGCTCTTGGTTTCCAAGTCTCCAGCGCCCTAAGCAGCCTTGCTTGGAAATTCAGATCTAGAGCGGCTTGGTCGAGTCACGCATTTGTGGAGTCGGTGTGCCGGTAAGTGCCAGCCACACACGTGTCCTCGCGAGTGACCCTTTCAGTGCGTTTTAGGGCCTGCTCGAGGGCGAGAAAATTGAAGTCTTGGAGTGCGCATTGTGCCGGTAAGTGCCAGCCACACACATGTCCTCGCGAGTGATCCTTTCAGTGCGTTTTAGGGCCTGCTCGAGGGCGAGAAAATTGAAGTCCTGGAGTGCGCAGCGGACTAGGCAGCAGACCAAATGGTGGAAACTCGGTTCGGCTATGTGCGCGCCCGATAATTTGCTTCTACGTAGCTGTGGCATCAGTATTTTACTATCGCGGCACCGGAGCCATACTGCATGAGCACTCAATGCCTAAGCGGCGTACATGGATACTCCAACACTGGGGAAGGCAAACGCGGCGAAGTAACCATAAGCCCTCGGGGAGCCATGACCCGTATCCTACACATAGCAGCTCTCCTACTGTGGACATCCCCTCAAATGAGCCGCTTGTGTGCGTCGTTGTAAGAGTGACTGGCGCGTCATCTGCATCAGTGAGCTTCCTTCTTTATCCGGAGCTGGTTTTTGCGCAGGCGGACCATCACGCGTGCTGTGGGCACATACTCGTCGGGAGTCGAGGGAAGGCTAAACTGATCCATGCGCTTTTTCGTTCCCGCACGCGCAGCTGCGTCTGCGGCTTTTCTGCTCGGCCGGACGGTGGACTGGCGAAGTCATCCAGCCAGTTTTCACCAATCCAGCAAGATGGTTGATGGAGACGTAAACCTGATGCCCGGGGTAGACCCCAAAAACCTTTCAGCCGAGTGCTTGTCGGGGCAGGGTGCTTTTGGGGAGTAGAGAAACTGATACGGAAGGAATTTAGTGGCAAATTGCGTGGGACAGCGGTAGGTTATGCGGGAGGCCGTAAAGAAAATCCAACCTATAAAGACGTCTGCACGGGCAACACTGGACATTGT